CCGAGCCGAGCTGGGCGGGGTCGCGGTCACGCCCTCCGCCCCCTCAATAGGCGCATCGGTCCCGGCCCCCAGCGTCCGCCTGCACGCGGGCGAGGGGTGTGACCGGTTTTCAGTTTTACGAAACCAAGCAGATGGAATCGAATTGCCAAAAACGGCTAAGAAAGAACCAGGGAACAAAACTGGAAAAGCTGTCAAAGAACCAACGCCTCAGGAGGCTCTGCCCGTGGGATTTGGGGCGGAAAAGTCTCAGGAAGGGCAATTCCTGGGGGTAGCGACAGGACCCAGAGGAGGGGAGGCTGGGCTCCCGCGCTCACTGACCCCGACCCACAGCCAGGGGCCACTTTCCAGGACGACATTAGACTTCAGACTCCAGCCTAAACTGCCACCGAGTCCACGTTAACAGTGACCCAGGGACTGTGGGCCTTGGTTCAAGAAACGCAAGCTGACTGGACCCTCGGGAATCTGAAACGGCGGCAGGTGACAGGGAAGCAGCCCGGAAAGGCAATAATAAATGTTGGCATCCGCTCTTGAAATTTTAAGAGTTATTCGAAAAACCAGAAATAAAAGCAAAAGCAGAGTAATTCATAATTCATGCAGAGTCAGTACAGAGGGTTTGTGATTTAGAGCAATCAGGTCTCCCACTCCAGCTGGAAGCATTCCCCCGCCTCCCCCCCTTTTAAATTGTATCTAGTTTTAGTTCTCCCGTTTGTCTTTCCCAGAGAGATACCAAGAGAACATAATTTTTAAAAAGGTGCTTCTATCAGCGACAATGGAACATAGACATGAAGTACCAGAAGCATTCTCACTGAAATAAGACTAAAACGAGGATGCCTTTATCACATGCCCATTAAACATTTTCTGCAAGGCCTAACCAATGCGATGAAACACGAAACGGGAACAAGAAGTATAAGCATCAGAAAAAAGACACCAAAATCTCATTATTCGTAGGTATGATGGCCCATCTACAAACCCCAAAATAAGCATTTAGAATTGGTAATAGAGTTTAGCACCAAAAAAAAAAAAAAAAGCACTTGCTTACTGTTAAACAATGTTTAGTAGTGGTAGTAGTAGTCTGAGCAGGGAGGATCTGGGAAATTCACTTTACGAGAGTCACAGTAAATTGCCTAGAAATAACAAGATTTGAGCAGGATCTGTATGAAGAAAATTACAGTGATATCATGATCCCGAATAGACACAAATGCAACCAAAATTCTATGCGATCTGGGAGAAAAGCATCAAAATTCTAAATTTCATGTGCGTGAATGAGAACAACTAAGATGTTTTTGAAAAAGAGAATGACACAGAGAACTTCCCATAGCAGATATGAAAAGATAAAGTTTCAGAGAAAATATCGTGGTGTTGGTTCAAAAGAGACAGATGGCTGATATTGAGTAGAATGGCCTGGAAGGGGATTCTGAGCAGATGTAAAACCTCACACAATGAAAAGAACCACAAGTGAATGGGGAAAGGAAATTTTAATCAGTCACCATAATGGAAAAAAACTGGCTGTTGGGGAAAGTCGAGTTCCGTTTATATCTCACACCTATTTAAAAAGTTGTAGACGATTTAAAGACTTTATTTTTAAAAGGACATTTGACAATCTAGGTGGAACATTCGGGTGAGTTTGGAGATGCATTTTTAATACATGGTAAGCCATGGAGGAAATCACAAAGGGAAAAGCTGTATAATTTATAGTACATGAAAATACCAAAATCACAAAGGGAAAAGCTGTATAATTTATACTACATGAAAATACCAACGCGTACATGTCGAAAGTGGTAATAAAATTAAAAACCAGAGAAACGATCTGGGGATATATTTATCATAAGTATTACAACTAAAGGAACAATATTTCTGGTTTATAAAGAATTTATTCAAGTGAGTAAGCAATAAATGCATCCTAACAGAAAAATAAAATGGGCCAGGGACTTGAATATATAATTCACAGAAAAGAACAGGCTGGCAAACAAAAGTAAAGCAAAGACAGCCTTATTAGTAATCAAAGGAGTGCTAATCGAAAGAACAATGAGGTACAATTTTTATCTTTTCAAATAGTTAAAAAGAAATTCTTTTTTTTAGAATGACAAGATACTATCATTGCCCACAGATGCATAAATTAAAGCTACCCGCTAAGCAGTGTGGAAAGATAAGGAGGATATTTTAACGTTTTTAACTTTTGACCCAGTCATCTCACTTCTGTGACCTCATCTCGAGGAATCGTCAGAGAAAAGTGACAGTTTTTTATACACTGAAGTTCAGTGCAGCGTGATCTGTAAAGGGCGGAAGGAGAAAGCAGCTTACAGTGACAAAATGACATCACTGTGGGCGGCATCAATATCACTGTCATAGGATATGCAAACCGAAGACTCTGAAGCTACAGCCAAAAATCATGTTTGAAACAAAAAAGAATGTCATGGAAAATGGAGATGCTCCTGATGTTTAAGAAAAAAGAAAAAAGAAACTCTACATATACTTCACCTCTGATTGCACTAAACAATTATGCTTTTAAAAAGAATGAAGTATGCCATCATGTTAACAGTGACTATATCTGGATTTTAGAATTACAGGACTTTTTCGTATTTTTTTTTCTGAGTATTCCGTGTTTCTCTTAGCATAAAAATCTCGATAAAATCTAATTTCGGAATATGAAATTAAATAGACTTTGTATTATCGTCTTTTCGTTTTTAGTTGACTTGTTTTCATAAGCAAACAAAATCACGACACATCCGAAACGTTGGAAAAGGGGCAAAATAAGCAAGCAAACAAATTCGCTTTCTC